GAGCTGTTGTTCAGCATCTTAGCTGTAGAGGGCAGTGTCACTGGCCCTCATATGTGGGATCCGAACTGGGGTCCTCTGGCATCCCAAGCAAGCTCTTAATCAATGCACCACTTGGCTGGCCCTTGTTGCCTTTTCTTTAGGCTAGCTTCTCCCAGTTGCATTACTTGCCTGGCCCCTGAGAGCATTGGGTTTGTTCCACCTGTTTTGTGCATCAGTTTTAGGACTGTAAAGATGATGGTTTTCAAATGTTTTTACCTTATATATTTATCACCCTGTGTTCATGAGAGGATTTGGGATTCTGCCATTCTTTTCTTACTAGAAACTAAGGATAGCAAGATTTCAACACAATTGAGAATGGGAAAGGATAGGAAACCCATGAGATCTAAAATACAAATTGACATTTTAGCTTTGGGGACTGCCAGTCATGAGGTGAGTCCTTAGAATCATCTCCGTATATCAGGTTCTTTGTGGCCCTAGGCAAGTTCACTCACTTGACTAGGTTAGTTTCCCTTCTGAGAAAGACTTTATTAATTCATAAAATTATCGCTATTGCTATTAGGTGCATCCAATCTTTCTCTTTCAAAGCTGGCTACAATTATAGGCCAGCCTGACTAGAAGCCATGTTATTGTTAGTAGATGATGATATTTTATTGGGGAACAGTGTGTTTTTCCAGGACCCATCAGCTCCAAGTCAAGTAGTTGCTTCAACCTAGTTGTGGAGGGTGTGGGAATCGAACTGGCAACCTTGGTGTTATGAGCACTGCTCTCTAACCAACTGAGCTAACTGGCCACCCCTATTTTATCAAATTTTGATTTGAACTTTGTTTTGTCCCCCTACATTAGAGATGATTTCATGGATAGCCACTCACTTTCACCCCAGCTCTCAAAATCCCTGGGGTATAACTGACCCAACTGTAAAAACTTGAGATTAATCTGACCTTCAGCCCAAGCCTCACAGTAAGCATTAGTTTGCTTTTTCCTGGGTTTCCTCACATTGTCTTACTTCATTCCCTCTCTTTCAGTATTTGTTCTGCCCCTGCTTTTGCCAAATGACAGATTTCTTTTTATTTCTATCTCATTGTTCCTAATGTATACTTCCTCATTTGGGGATGGGGGGTAGTGAGGGTGGGAGCAAAGCCATTGGCGTCTCCAAGCCTTATTTTCTACTTCAGGAAACTATCCTTCTTCAGACGACTCCACTGAATTGGGGTTGCCCAGTAAAGCTTGGCTAATATTAAGGCCAGAACTAACACTCAAAGGATTTGAACAGGTTTCAATAACAACCCTGTATGTGCTATCTCTTTCAATTTCTTTCTCCTTATTTTGTCTTTCTCCCTTCCAGGGCTCTTCTCTCCCCCCCACCCCCCCAAGTTTTAATGTGGAAATTTACATATATACACAAGAGTAGAGGGAGCAGTTTAATG